TGACTGCTGAGTGAAATGTTTCCTCCTGAATGGCAATTATTTTTTTTTAAATACATTTTTCTTTTTCAAAAACCAAAATAAGAATAGATAATATGCATTACATAGCTTTGACAAACTTTCTGAATATATACTGTGTAATCTCAAATCTATCATGTCAGGATAATTACTCATCTTAGTTAGGATCACAGCCTTTAAGTAGACAATTTTTATGAATTCCATTATCCCAGAATATGTAAATGAACTATCACAATTCCAACAAAAGTATTCTAAAAGATCAACAATAACAAAGTTTGAAATGCATTGTTTTTCAGATGAGTGGCCAGTAGTAGCTTGGAAAACAGGGTACTGAAGCCAGAAAAGAGCTTACAAGTGTAGGGCATAGTTACAATAGCCAGATTGTGGAAACTCCAGTTACAAACAGGCTTAGCTTGGAATTGTCTTTCCTAGGAAAAGAATTTCAGGCTGAATTTCAGAAGTCTCACCTGTTACAAGGCTTCATCAGTGCAAAGCCCAGACAGATTATAAATTCTCAGGTTATCATCTGAACTAAGTGTTGAGAAACAACAGTTTAGGCAGACACGTATCTGTACTCACCTCCTCTATCCTTTCCTCTCTTACCTGATATAGCCAATCTGGGGTCGGTGCTGCAAGAACCAGCGGTAGGAGACTTTGTCTTTCCACCCCACATTTCGGGGGTCCTTCCATAGCAGCCTGACCTGATCACTGGTGTCCCCCGTGTGCCAGAGGGAGTTGCGGAGGTGCTCGCCCGGGCCTGTCTTGGATTTCACAGCCTGCAGAAGTACAATTTTCCAATGCTGACCACAGAGAAATGTCACTTTCAAGAGCTCTAAGCCTTTTTGTAGTGGGCAGCAGGTCTGCAGAAGCACCCTCCCTCCTGCTCACAAGCCCCTAACTTCTCTTGAAAAACTGCAGCCACTGCTTGCATGGAAAAGCAGCTGAGTGCCTGGACCAAGGAGAAGGAGGCAATTTGATCAGTTACAGTGAAGGCACAATGAGAGCAGAGACTAAATGCTCCAGATGATGAGCAGGGGCAAGACTGGAGATGACATTCCCTAAAAACCGGTGCTATTAGCGGGGCTGCATGGCAGCCGCCTGGCTTGGCAGTTTCGACCCCCGCTGCAGGGACAGAACAGCGGTGGCTTGGCCGATGCACGGCATGACGGCTTATCCCATGGCAGTCAGATGGCAGGGTGGCATGGCCAACACGTGGCAGGATGGCACAGCCAGGCTGTGCTGACTGCTGTGTCCCCAGCTTGGAGCCAAGACCAGTACCTTTAGCTGAATGCCGGGCTCTGCAACAGCTCTGAAGGGAGTTGCTTGCCAGTACGTCTGTTCAGTCTGTTTCCACATTACCACATAAAAGCTAGAGCTGTCTTGATAGCCGAAAATAAAGCCAGCGTAGTCATCATCTGTCACCGTGTTCACATGAAAAGTGCCCTCAAAGTCAACACCGTTAAAAGCTGTGTAACCTGAGGATACATGCAGGTTAAAAACAAGTCTACAGAAAATCCATTCACATTCTGTAAGTTTTCTGCCATAAAACTTGAATGTCAGGAGAGGGTACATACCAACAGCAAGGCCAGGATCGCTGTTCATGGTCTGCACAATTTCCATGCCCTGTAAGAGTAAATTCAGGGTGGTTAGTGCATGTGACAAGCTGGTCTGCCTAAGCCTGGCAGTCTCTTCTGGCCTCCCTCTAGCATCCCCTCCATCCGCCTCCCCCCTTTGCTCACAACATGTCTCTAACACTTGTAGCTCTGAATTAAGATGAGCACTAAAATCAAATACTAATGTTTCAGCTGCTTGTTGTGCCCTGAGTCAGGAAGGATTTTTCTTTTCCCATTGCAGAACTGGCCATACTGGTACTCTGATACTTTCTCGACTGTAAAATAGTCAACCAACCAACAGCTTCCACTTTTCACTTGTGTGGCAGAGATCCAGCAATTACAGAGACAGTTTTACTGTGGTTTTCAAATTATCTTTCTCAGTCACATAAGAAAGCCCAGATATATTTTTACCTGGTTCAATACCACCCAGTTGGGATCAATCTGCGCATCCCCCTCTGGGTCCAGCACCACTGTCTGATAGGCCCTGAAGTCTGTCAAGGTGATCTCTGCATTCTCAGGGCACACATCGATCCGATCGATCACTGTATCCTGGTCAAAATCAGACTCGCAGATATCCCCAACTCCATCACCTGAATGCATCGGAGAAGTGAAAGCAGATTTATGGTGCAGTAAGTAGACACATCTGGCTGAGCCACTGGATCATGGTGTCCAAGAAGCAGGTGGAGTCTCAGCCCTGATGGCCACACTGCCCGGAGAGGGGACCTGAGGACTCCTGCGTGTTGGGGTCCCTCCTGGGATGAGTGTATGCACACATGGTGACTGTGTCGGATCCTGGTGCACATGTGTAATGCCTGGGGAAGGATGTAGTGCCTAAGCACCGAAATAGCTTCTGAAGGCCCATCTTACCATTGTCATCTTCCTGCCCTGGGTTGGGAACCAGCCTGCAGTTGTCAGGGCCTGGGGGCAAGAGGTCAGGAATGCCATCATTATCATCGTCCTCATCACACTCGTCACCCAACCCATCCTTATCCGTGTCCAGCTGGGAGCTGTTAATGATGGTGGGGCAGTTGTCTGTGCTGTCCTGGTGCCCATCGCCATCGCTGCAAGAACAGAGACAAAAAGAAATGGCACACCAGGATCAGCTCCTGCCTCTGCATGGGGGACAGCACAGGTACCTGAGCAGGAAATGCACTGGAGGCACCCCCAGAGCTGGAAACAGACCAGTCGGGCACCATGACCTGGTGTCAATCAGGTGGCTAAACAGTGAGGAGACAAGGAACAGAGACTGTATGATAAGGTGGCAGGAAGATGAAGACTAAGCCTGGAGCTATAAAAATATTCACGTAAGGAAAAGAAAAAGAAGCCTTACATGGAGTGGGAAAAGGTACCAGAGCCCATGATTCCAAATGACATCCACTCCTAAAGGGCGTGTAAGGCACATCCAACATGTGCATTGTCACTAATCAAAAGACACCCAGGAGACAGCAAGAGCTCAACAGCTGGTGACCCTTGTCACACATGTTGTCCACAAGTGTCTTGGTGCTCATGAATGAAAATTTACGGGAGACTGTGTATAAGCACCGGAAATCAGACTTGCTTAAAAACAGGCACCACTTCCACCCTCCTGCATAGCAAGATATGTTAGCAAATGTGACACCCATCTACAAGAAGGGCTGGAAGGAGGATCTGGGGAACTACAGGCCAGTCAGTCTGACCTCAGTGCTGAGGAAAGTTACGGAGCAGATTATCTTGAGTGCCATCAAGACATATGTACAGGACAACCAGGCAATCAGGCCCAGCCAGCATGGGTTTATGAAAG